ATAGCAATCTATATTAAGTTGATGTTTGCTTAAGTTTGAAGCCATTTTAAAAGCACTAAATTTTTACTCCTCCCCTCACATTTTAGCTATATGATATCATACTTTACATCCTTTGATTTTATAAAACCTTTCACTGATTTTTATTGATAATATTGATTTTACTGCTTTTGTGCTTTAATCTCCATACTGGTTTTATAACTGATAAATCAACTACTTTTATTATGTTGGTATTTACCTGTGAAATTTTTCCTTTCACAATTTTCTTACTCCTGATAGTGGCCTTTTCTTTCCATTCAGAGAATTCCCTTTAATGTTTCTTGTAAGTCTGGTTCAGTTATGATGAACACCTTTAAGTTTTGTTTGGAAAACTTCTCTCCTTCTATTCTGAATGATATCCTTGCTGGGTAAAGTATTCTTGGTTGCACATTTCTTCTTTTCAGCACTTTGAATATATCATGCCACTGTCTTCTGGCCCATAAAGTTTCTGCTGAACAATCAGCTTATAGCCTTATGGGGTTCCCCTTGTGTGTAACTCTTTTCTTTTCTGTTTCATTTAAAGTTCTCTCTTTATCACTACTTTTTGATATTTTAATTATTATGTGTCTTGGTGTGCACTTCCTTTGGTTGATTTTGTTGGGGACTCTCTGTGCCTCCTGGATCTGGATATCTGAGTTTTCAGCTGATTTCTTCAAATAAATTTTCTGCTCCCTTTTCTCTCTCTTCTCCTTTTGGGATCCCTATAATATGAATGTTATTATACTAAATGATGTCACTGAGTTCTCTTAATCTACTGTCAGTTTTAATTTTTTTTTCTTTTTGCTGTCCAGCTTGGTTGCTTTCCATTATTCTGTCTTCTAGGTAGATGATAAATTCTCCTGCCTCTAATCTGCTGTTGATTTCCTCTAGTGTATTTTTATTTCAGTTATTGAGTTTTTCATTTCTGATTGGTTCTTTTTTATATTATCTATCTCTTTGTTGAAGATCTCACTGAGACCCTCCACTCTTTTCTCAAGTCCAGTAAATATTTTGATAGCCATTACTTTGACTTGTTTATCAGGCTTATTGCTTATCTCCTTTCATTTAGCTATTTTGCTGTGGTTTTGTCCTGTTCTTTCACTTGGGACATATTCCTCTGGTTCTTCATTTTGTCTCTCTGTGTTTGTTTCTATGTATTAGGAAAGTTAGTTACGTCTCCTGATCTTGAAGGTCGTGGCCTTATGAAGAAGAGCTCCTGTTGTGCCTTGTGGCACAATGTCCCCTGTTCACCAGAACCAGATATTTCACGGGTGTCTCCTATGTGGATTGTGTGTGCCCTACTGTTGTGGCTGGGTGGGCAGCATTTGCCTTCAGTCCACTTGGCCATAACGGCCCATTTTGCCTGGTGCACTGGGCAGGGTTTGGTCTCTGTGCTGTTAAGGGGCTAGTCTGGAGCTACTCTGGGCTTATAGTTGGGGGATATCAACAGTCAGACTAGATGTCTGCCCTCTGCTTGTTTGCTGGTATTGTGGTCACACCAAACTCCAGGGCACTCTCCCTGTGTTATCCCTGGAGAGGCTTTTGTTGGTAGGTGGAGCCTGCATTCAAACCAAATGCCTATTCTAGTCCATGTGTTGGGGCTGCAGTGACCCCAAACTACAGGGCTCTCTAAACCTGAGAGGTTTTTGTCAGTGGACGGGGCCAGCAGATCAGATGCTTACCCCCAGTTCATCTGCTGGGGCTGCAGAGGTACTGATCAACAGGATACTCTCTTTCCTGCCAGTTATAAGGTTTGGCTGCTGGGGCTACAGTTGAACTGGTGTGTGGTTTATCTTCCCCTCTCCTCAGGCAGGAGTCATTTTGGAGTGGTGCTGGTCCTTGCCAGGGCTGCTTGCAGGATAAAATATGCCAGGAGCTGCTTTGGACAGATGTGTGCCTAGTGGGGTAGGTTGGATGGGGTAGATCCACAGGAGAACACAGAGGCAGGGTGTGTGGTGTTAGCAAGGTAGGTGGAAAGTGTTCTCCCTGGTTCCTGCAGGTGTCCTGGTATCTAGGCTGGGGATAGGGTGGAGGTGGGGATAGCACCCACCAGCTCTTTTGTTCTTGAAGATGTCTCCTAAAGATCCCTGCCCCTCCAGCACACATTCTGAGATTAGTAAATAAATCTCCTTTCTGTATACCCAGGATGCTTTTCAAATTCCTTTATCTCAGCAGGGTTGTTTGTTATACTGTCTCTTTAAGGGCTCAGTTTCCTATTGCTCTCTGGCTCTCCCAGAGCTAAGCCTGTTGATTTTTTTAATTTTTTTTTTTTTTGAGAAAGAGAGAGAGAGAGAGTAGGGGAGGGGCAGAGGCAGAGGGAGAGGGCGAATCTTAAGCAGGTTCCATGCTGAGCATGGAGCCCAGTGTGGGACTCAGTCTTTCAACCCTGAGATCATGACCTGAGCTGAAATCAAGAGGTGGACTCTTAACAGATGAGCCTAGCCTGCTCATCTCAAAAGCCAGGTGCCTCAAAAGCCTGCTGATTTTTAAAGTACCCAGAGTTAAGCCCCACTGCATTTCAAAGCCAAGTATTATGGGGACTTGTCTTCCAAGTGCAGGTTCCTGTGTGGGGGGTGTTTGGTGGGTGTCTGCTCCTCTCCCTTCTCAGTGCTTGTGATGTCCCTTCCATTTGCGGTTAGTTTCACCAGGAGCTTGATACCTGACCATGTTTCCACCCTTCCTACCCTTTTCAGTGTGTCCTCTTCTCTTCAATTAACTGGAAAGTCTGTTGTGGCAGTCTTTGGGTGGTTTTCTTAGTTCGTTGCGCTGATATGGCTGTTGTCTTGGGTGTATCTGTGGAATGAAGTGGGCTTAGGATTCTCCTACTCTGCCATCTTCCCAGACTCTAAATCAGGAACATATTATTGACATTGCATCTAAAAGGTGTTTAGACAAGATATGGAAATATAACTCTACTTTAAAGTGTATAATGTCTCCTTTTAAAAATGAAACCTGTATTTATTTCTCTGTTACACAGTAAGAATTTACTCTTTGTGGAATAATGAATTAAATTGCATCTTTTTGACTAGTGATGAGGTCACGATTTAGCTACATATAACTTAAATGAAGGATGTTTCTTGCTGTTATATATTGGTCATGTTTTTGATTGCTGAGTTAGTACATAGTTGCAAATATATATTTAATACTGGAGTGTCAGTTTCTCAAATAGCACATGAAATTTGCCATAAAAATTCATGTACAGGGGTATACTATCTTGTTTTCCAGTTTGGCTATATCCTGTGTCTATGGGGAACATGATTATGAGAATATTATGTTCTCATTACATATACTAATACCTGGAGAAGTAATTAAGTATTTTTTAATGAAGTTAAGGTCTTTTTATGGTTGCTAGTTAATTGTCTTGACTATCTTAAAACATAGAATTTGTTGTTTTAAAATACATTTTAAATACACAAAGTATAGTATACTTAGCTGCTAAGTATAGAGAATTTTTATGTTTAAGATGGGCTTGTGGTCCCAGAAAAGGAGCTATTAGCATAAATGATACAAGGAGAATATGGTATTCCCACATAGTTTTAATAGGACATTAGATTCTTAACATATCTTTAATGTGACCGTAAGACCAAAGGGCCATAAGTCAGTCAAATCAGATAGTATTGTAGCTTATTATTCAACAAACTTTTATTAAATACCTACTAGATTACATTATGCTACTAAACAAAAAGATAACAAAATAAATAAGGCATAGTTTCTGTTTTCAAAAAGCTCAATACAGGACAGAAAGAACTTAGGGATCAGCATTTGGAATTTTGGTCCTCCCCTCCTTACTAGATATATGACTTGGGGCAAGTCATTTAATTGCCTTTCAAAAAAATTTTTTTCTGAGGGTCAGCTTCCTTATCTTTAAGAGGGGGATGACAGTACCACTCCTGTAGGGTTGTAAACTTTAGAAGTAACATATTTATCTAGCACAGTGTCTAACTCATGGTGAGTGAATATTTACTGGTAGCTGTTACTATTATTGCCTACCTCACCAGGAGTTCTCAATAAACATTCCTGGTTTTTTTTTTTCATTTTTGCTTACAACCCATCATCTACTATACTATACTACACTATACTATAAAATTTTAGTCACTATGATATATCATCTAAGATGCAGGAAGTGACCTTTGTTATCCCTACTGAAACCAACAAGTAGGTGAATGAAGGCTCATAAAATTCATCTTGACTTCTGAAAACAGATTTCAATGTGCTTACTTGAGTCAGAGCTTTCAAGGCTGAGACCTGTTTTCTGAAAACAAATTGAGCATATACATGAAAGCCATTCATAAAGATCAAACTTTGAGTATCTGAATACTAACTGATCATAAGTTTTTGAACTACAGCTCCAAAGGTTATATTAGTTTTTATTAGAAAAATTTTCATATATACATAAAAGTAGAAAGAATAATATTATCCACTCCTACTTACTACCAATTAGCCAGTTCTAATAGTTATCAACTAAAATGGGTTTTAACAGAAACATTTCAGTCAAAAATCTTATTTCCAACTCTAATTTGTTATTTTTTTTAAAGATTTTTATTTATTTATTGAGAGAGAGAGAGAATGGTAGAGAGAGAGCATGAGAGGGAAGAAGGTCAGAGGGAGAAGCAGACTCCCTGCTGAGCAGGGAGCCTGATGCGGGACTCGATCCCGGGACTCCAGGATCATGACCTGAGCCGAAGGCAGTTGCTTAACCAACTGAGCCACCCAGGCACCCCTAATTTGTTATTATTTAATCCCATATCATGCATGGATGTAATTAGAATACTACTTTAACATTTGCATCATAAGTTTCTTTTACTATTAATTCAGATTAATAGTCAAAGATTTGTTTTCTGTAAATATCATAAAATTATTTTTAGGACACATTCTTAAATCACAACATCAAAAGAAAAATGCATGGCTTTGTTACTTACTTAAAAAGGGAGGGGGTAAAGAGTTAAATATGCTGGGTAGAAAATATTTTGTTCTTTGTTTTTAAGGTTTGGCTTGAGCAACAAGTTTGATACTGAATTTCCCTCAGTTCTAACAGGGAAGGTAAGTGAGAGTTTGCTTTGAACTTTTCAATTCTAAAGGCATTGTTTTATAGCTTATTCAGTATTATGACAAATGCTTTGGCTCCCCAGTAATGATGGTAACAAGAGGCCAGGGTACTTGGAAGCTGTGTCATTAGTGACTGAAAGCTGTCACCATGACTACTAGCCTATGACCAGTTATCTTGCTCATTGTACATTAATGCCAGCCATTATTTGCCTATCTGTTCAGTTTTTCCAGTTTTGCCCTTTATTCTCAGCACCAGTAGCTATAATTGTTTTCATTTAGGTCCGTAATCCCAATGTCTTTAGAGTTAACAAAGTTATCATTGTTTAACTTTGTGTCACTCTATTATTTTTAAAGTGTCCTGCAGTATGATTTGTTATACATCAAAAGAATCAAATGTTTGGTCAGACGTTTTTCTACCTTTTAGATAGTTTGAGTTTCTAAAATTGGACTTGCTGCAATAAATTAGTACCTTTCTATTCCCTGGTTCCTCTACATTCAGTAGTATCTTCATGCTTGAGGTTCAGTATTCAAAGACTTCTTAGGATTTGAAACTATGTTTGGAAAATCCTCTTACAATAGGAATGCTAACTTCTAGGCCCAAAGAAAAAGGCTTTGACTAAGGCAAAAAGTTACTTACACGTTTGTCACTTGAGGAAATACAGAAGAAAGAGAAAAGCCATTATATTAAAAAATACTCAAAAATTTCCAAATGGTTAATAGCTGAATGTTATATAGGTAAAATGATGATTTGGGATTAAAAGAAATTATCCTGTTCAATTTTAGTGCTAGAACAATGCTACTTGTCAGTATAGATTTGGTCATATTTTAAAATCATTCCATTCCCTAAAGGGCTTTTATGCAATTTACTGTTAAATTTTCTCATAATGTTAGTGAGAAAAGCGAGGTACAAATCCGTGCCTACAATATGTGTAGGCACATATTTTCCCCCCCTTTATTAGGGGGGGAAAGTAAGCACATTAATAATTGTATAAAGAAATTCTAGAAGGTTACACATGGAACTAAATAAAAGTGGTTACCTTGATGGGAGAAGAGGAGAGAGATGGATGGAGGCAAGGGTAAAGATGAGATCATTTTTGGTATTTTGGTATTTAGTATTACTTTGATTTTTGAACCATGTCACTATGTTACCTATTCAAACCTTAATTTAATTTGTCCTCTTGTTCTAAACTCTGAGAATGGGATAAAATGCATCTAATATTGGCTCCTTTTTGTCATGATACATTTTCTAGCTGCTTGCTTTTCACTTTTGGCCTAATCACAATCTTTTCCCCAGCTTTATTCAGAAGGGGGGAGAGAAAGACAGCAGAGTTATTTCTTTTCACAAGGGTTATCACTAAAATTATAAGAAATTCTATTTGATTTAACCCTGAAAGGTATTTTATACTTTATTTGCTTCCTTTACCCCCTGAAAAATGGAAGCTAGTTAGAGACGGTATAGAGTAGTTAAACTTTGAAATCAGATCTGGGTTGGAATACAGGGTCTATCACTTGGCTTTGTGGCCTTGAGCAAGCCACTTCTTTGAGCCTCAGTTCTTATGTGAATAATACCTCACTTCTTGTTGTAAGGATTAAATGAAAGAGCATGTATAAAATTTTGAGTGTACTGTCAGGTACTTATTAGCTTCCCAGTGTAAGTTTTTTTTTTTTTTTTCCCACCAGTGTATCCTAGTTTCATCCTGATTGTTTATTTCTCCAGTTTTTTTCTGACTAGCTTTCAATTTTTAACTGCTTTTGCTACTTTTACATTCTTTACTGAGAAACAGTTTATTCACTGGTCCCATCAATAATCTGTCCTTTTAACTGTTGACCTTTTCTGCCTCTCCTGATGTATAATGTCAAATCATTCCATATAATAAGCAAGTGGAAATAGTCCCTGGCTAAGTTAACAGAAAATATGTGCCCATTTACCTTTTTAGGATACAAAGAGCCCTTTGGTTTGATGTTTTGGCCTCACTCTCTAGAATGTTCTACCTTCCTATCCTGATCATTTAGAATAATTTGCCAATTGAAGCAGCAGTTCAAACTTAGATTTGTTTTATATGAATTAACCATAAATATTTTCTCCAAAAGAAAAAAAATAGCTGTGGAAAAATCCCTTGAATAATAACGTGTTTGTGGAAGGATGACAAATTCAATATTAAATTAAAGAGAATGTGAATTAAAACATCTCCAATGGAAAACTTGTTCTTTGTGTTTCCCTGGTGCTGCTGCATGTGTTGTCTGGGCACTTATATTCAGTTTTCTTACTGGTTTGTTTTTTAAAAGTTTGAATTACAAGTCCAAGGAATTCTAGAAAATTAATAATCAAAAAAAAATGTCAGAGAACAGTTTCCAGGCACAAATGTATCCGTCTTTGAAATTGGCCAGTTTTATATGCTCAAGGAATATTTAGAATATTTCTTCATACTTCTTCATTTCTTTCCAAGCCTTCTAAAACTAAAAACTTCACCATTGAAAAAGATAGTACAGTTTTTCTTTTAAACTAGAGTAAGAATGTTAAGCTGCTTTTGGTATGCATTTACAAAACATATGATCTGAATATGAGCTGTTCTTAAAGATATCCTTTTTTTTGGGTGACCATTTCTATAGCACATATCAATGATTGGATATTTATTCTAGTGTGCATTATTTAAAGAAATGAGGCATAAATGATACTGTGATTTTTTTTCTTAGTTTAGTTTTTAGTGATGAAAACAACACTAACAGGAATTCTGAAAGTCTGATTTTTAAAAGTCACATGGTGATAACATGAGCTTTACTCATTTTTCTCTTCAATGAGACAATTTTTGTCCAGTAGGCACTGTTGTATTTGTATAGGTTATTATGAATTATCAAAATGCTTCTCTGATACCTGGGGGAATAGGCAAGAAGAATTACATTAGCCGGGAAGAAAAAAAAACCAAAAGGAAGGTCTGAATTCCAAACTTAGCAGCCTTTGTGTAAAATATTTTAAAATGAATAAATGCAGTCTCTAAAATAGAAAAATATTCCTTTTACAAAATCAGTCTTCTGGCATGAATGGGATTCTAAATAGCTTTTATGCCTAAACTAAGCAAAATTTCACGGAGTTAATTCTGAAGACATAAAAAGCCATTTTGACAAGCTTCGTGGTTCAGTACTAATTTTGTGCCTCTGTGTTAATACTTCTTATACAAATAAAAAGTTAACCTTTTATATTAAGTGCAGAAAAGATTGTTTCCCCCATTTCACTAAAGATAAGTCTTCTTCTCATGATAGGATATATCAAGCAGGTGCATACACACAGATTCTGGTGACCAGAAAATGAAAGAACCACTGAACTTTAGAAAAGAAATGAAAGCTTCTGGCCCTCAGCTTGAAACAATTAAATGGTGTTTATGAGATCAATGTGCAGTGTTGGGGGAAGCCTAAGCCATAAAATCGACCATTACTATTGTGATCCAGTATGACAAGTGATTGATAGGGTTGTGTTCCCCATGATTGAAGGAGGAAAAACAGTCTTGCTGGGTTTTGCTTATATTTTCTTCTGTTTGCAGAGTCTCTTGCATCCTGTTATAAAATATTATGAACCTTTTCCCCACCTTTATGATGTGGCTTTCTTTTTTCTTTACAAGAAAGTCAAAGGAATTAAACTTTCTTTACAACCTGCCCTTCAGCTAGAAAGAAAAAGGCTTCCATCTAACTTTCATTATTAAAGATACTCAGTTATATGGAAGTAAATGAGTAAAACTCTGACTCCACACAGTTAACTAAACATTTTTTCACAATGTTTAAATCGGGAGTTAACCAATTCTCATTTCCTATGTCTTTATCATCTGTTTTATGACTTTTACTGTCATTCAAATACAGATTTTCTTTCCAAAGACAATCCTGGCTCCCTTTTAAAGGCAAAACACAGATTTTATTTTATTGTTTGAAATTCTAGTAGTTTTCCTTTCAATATATTTATCTTATGACTTCAAAAAATTTGAATTCTCATTTTTAGTAACACCAGTATTGTAGTTCTTAGTTTGCCCATGGTAACAGAGTACTAATGGACAGGATTATGTGTTAAAGGTGGAAAGTATTGGCAGGAAAGAAGGAAAATTGTTACATTTTTTTTAAAGTTTTGGTTAATTTATTTCCAGAAGGATGTAATAAAAGAAAAAATTTATAACAAATTTTATGTATCTTGGCATATATTTTATTCACAATATTTTGAACAAAAAGCAAGTTTTACATTTTGGACTGATTAGTTTCTGGCTTCCAAATAAATATTCTAAGTAAAAATTTTACTTTTTAAATAAAAATTTAAATTCTAATTATAAGCACTTAAATTTGTAAGTGCACAGATTTAATAATTTTATGATTTACATTTACCAGATTTTTAAAAATGTGTTAGTGTTTCTAGATACACAATTCAAAGAGAATTGGTAGTAATGTTATATTACAAATTAGAGCTAAATATATTTTCCTTATTTTAATTTCTGTTTCATTGCTCAGTGATTGACTAGGGAAAAGAAGTTGAGTATCACTGTCTGAGAGGTAAATCTGAAGATAGCAACTTGGCATATGAATCTTTTGATAAAAGAAAAGATTTTATTTATTTATGTGACAGAGAGAGACACAGCGAAAGAGGGAACACAAGCAGAGAGAGTGGGAGAGGGAGAAGCAGGCTTCCCACGGAGCAGGGAGTACAATGCGGGGCTCGATCCCAGGACCCTGGGATCGTGACCTGAGCCGAAGGCAGACGCTTAATGACTGAGCCACTCAGGCGCCCCTGGCATCTGGTTTTTTAAAAGGACATCTCTTTTTTTCCTCTAAAGAACTGAAGAACTGAAGAGCATTGAATTTGCGTTAAAAATGTAGCTGATTGACCATCACAGGCCACGCCCACCTGTGTACCTTTCTGGACACTTTCCACTGTCCCCAGGTGCCATCACGCACCTGCCCAGCCAGATGCCCACAGGTGCCTTTGCACACTGCACTCAATTGCACACCCCTAGCAGCCCTCC